TTTTTCTTTCTCTAGAACTTCTGGGGTCATTTTATTCCTGGGGTTCTAACATTTCCAATAATGTGCTTTGATGAGTTTTTTTTGTTGTTGTTGTTCATTTTGTTGGGTACCCACTGGGTCCATTGAATATCAAAATTCAAATACTGCATTTTGGTATTTGGAGAAAATTTTTTTTGATTCTTTTATTCTCTTTCATTTTCTCTGTGCTCTCTTTTTGGACTTTAAAAAAAATTATACTTTAAGTTCTGGTAGACATGTGCAGAACATGCAGTTTTGTTACACAGGTATACCTGTGCCATGGTGGTTTGCTGCACCCATCAACCCGTCATCTACATTAGGTATTTCTTCTAATGCTATCCCTCCCCAGCCCTCCAGCGTCTGGCAGGTCCTGGTGCGTGATGCTCCCTTCCCGTGTCTTTGTTCAGCTCCCACTTATGAATAAAAACATGCAGTGTTTGGTTTTGTTAGTTTGCTGAGAATGATGGTTTCCAGCTTCACCCATGTGCCTGCAAAGGACATGAACCCATCCTTTTTAATGACTGCTTAGTATTCCATGGTATATATGTGCCACATTTTCTTTATCCAGTCTATCATTTATGGGCATTTGGGTTGGTTCCAAGTCTTTGCTATTGTGAACTGTGCTGCAATAAACATATGTGTGCATGTGTCTTTATAACAGAATAATTTATGATCCTTTGGGTATATACCCAGTAATGGGATTGCTGGGTCAAATGGTATTTCTGGTTCTAGATCCTTGAGAAATGGCCACACTGTCTTCCACAATAGTTGAACTAATTTACACTCGCACCAACAATGAAAAATGTTCTTATTTCTATTTCTCCACGTCCTCTCCAATATCTGTTGCTTCCTGACTTTCTAATCATCACCATTCTAACTGGAATAGTGGTTTTGATTTATATTTCTCTAATGGCCAGTGATGATAAACTATTTTTCATATGTTTGTTGGTCACATAAATGTCTCCTTTTGAGAAGTGTCTGTTCATATCCTTTGCCCACTTTTTGATGGAGTTGTTTGCTTGTTTTCTTGTAAATTTGTTTAAGTTCCTTGTAGATTCTAGATATTAGCCCTTTGCCAGAGGAATAGAATGCAAAAGTTTTCTACCATTCTATAGTTGCCTGTTCACTGCAATGATAGGTTTTGTTTTTGTTTTTCTGCGCAGAAGCTCTTTAGTTTAATTAGATCCCATTTGTCAATTTTGGCTTTTATTGCATTTGCTTTGGTGTTTTAGTCATGAAATTTTTGCCCATGCCTATGTCTTGAGTGGTATTGCCTAGGTTTTCTTCTAGGTTTTTTGTGGTTTTAGGTCTTACGTTCAAGTCTTTCTTTCTTTTTTTTCTTGACAGAGTCTCACTCTGTTGCCCAGGCTAGAGTGTAGTGGCATGATCTTGACTCATTGCAACGTCCACCTAATGGGCTCAAGCGATCCTTCCACCACAGCCTCCAGAGTGGTGGGACTACAGGTGCATGCCATCATGCCCACCTAATTTTTGTATTTTTTATAGAGACAGTGTTTTACCATGTTGCCTAGGCTGGTCTGGAACTCCTGGGCTCAAGCAATCTGCCCACCTTGGCCTCTCAAAATGTTGAGATTACAAGCATGAACCACTGTGTTTGGCTTCATCTAATCTTTCAAAAAATTTATTTAGGCCAGGCTGGGTGGCTCACATCTATAATCCCAGCCCATTGAGGTTGAGGCAGGCAGATCACTTGAGGTCAGGAGTTTGAGACCAGCCTGGCCAACATGGTGATACTCTGTCTCTACTATAAATACAAAAATTAGCCATGTGCCTGTAATCCCAGCTACTCTGGAGGTTGAGGCAGGAGAATCACTTGAACCTGGGAAGCGGAGGTTGTAGTGAGCTGAGATCACACCACAGCACACCAGCCTGGGTGACAGAGTGAGACTCTGTCTCAAAAAAAAAAAAAATAACAAAACTTAGAGCCATATTGAGAGGTGTAATTTATATGTACAAACTGCACATATTTAGAATATACAATTTGATGAGTTTGGACATATGCACACCTGTGATATCATCACTATAATCAAGACAATAAACCTATCTATCACCTCCAGAATTTTCCTGTGTCCTTTGCTTTGTGTATGTGTATGACATTAAACAACATGAGATCTACCCTCTTAACACATTTTTAAACGCATAACATTGTATTAACTGTAGGCATTATGCTGTACAGCCCATATCTAGAATTCATTCATCTATAAAGTTCATGACTGTAACTTTATACCCATTAAGTAAGAAATTCCATTTCCTCTTCCCTCCATTCTTTGGTAACCAGCTTCTATTTTTTGCTTCTATGATTTGATTATTTTAGACTCCTCATGTAAGTGGAATAATGCAGTATTTATCATTCTGTCACTGACGTTTCTCTTAACATAATGTCTTCCAGGCATAGCAATGTTGCAAATGGTAGGATTTCCTTTCTTTTATAAGGCTGAATAATATTTCACTGTATGTATACAACACATTTTCTTTATCCATCTGTCTGTCAATGGACATTTGGGTTGCCTCTATAGCTTGGCTATTGTGAATAATGCTGTAATGGACATGCAAGTACAGGTATTTCTTCCAGATTCTAATGTCAGTTCTTTTGGATATACACCCAGAAGTGGGATTGCTGGATCATATGGTAGTTCTATTTTTAATTTTTTTGAGGAACCTGTATATTGTTTTCCATAATGGTTCCACCATCATACATTCCTACCTGCAGTACACAAGCATTCTAATTTTTCCACTTTCTCATCAACACTGTTTTCTGCTTTTTTGATAATAACCGTTCTAACAGGTTTGAGGTTATAGCTCAATGTAGTTTTGATTTGTATTACTCAGATAATTAGTGATGCTGAGCAACTTTTTATATACCTTTTGGCCATCTTCTTTTGATAAATGTCTAATCAAGTCCTTCATCCATTTAAAAATTAGGTTATTTGCTTTTCTATTACTGAGCTGTAGCAGCAGTCTACCAACCATCTAATCCCATTCCATGTATTTAACAGTACTGAAGAATACTGGTATGTGTTATATGTTAGGCTTTAGTGTTTGCTAAATCCATAACCATAAAGCCACATATTGTTACTAATGCTTAGGTTGGTACATTTTGTATCTTGTGACCCCAATACTCTGGTTTCCACTGACTGCTGGTGCTGGCCTAAGGGCAATCATGTATTGGGCTGTGTGATATGATACGAATCGGGCTACCTGGAATCCCTATACCAAATATAATTAGATTCTAGTAAAGCCGAACAAAAAGGAACAGAATTTAGCGACATTCTCATTTAGTCACGTTTTAAAACAAGCAGCTTTAATGCTCTCTTTCTGCATCTGGAAGGTCAGTCCCTAGAACTACTCAGTGGTTCAAACACATTTCAGTTTTCCACGAAGCCTGGCTGTGTAGTTGTGGAACTGTTTTCTTTTTCTTGGTACTTTCACAATAAACCTCCTTAACTAGGATAAGTTGCTCCTATCTATATTCATTATAGTCTGAAGTGCTAACAGGGGATAATTACCAGAGGAGTGCTCTAACATACTACCGGCTTTTAACCTCTACAATTTGGATCATACTGCTCTTCATACTGTTTTGAAAGGTATTTTTCAGTTTCCACTACTACAAAATAATTTTTGCCAAACGGATCCCTCAAATCATAATGAGTAACTTAAAAATTCCTTGATGTAAAATTTTAAGTGGCGAAATCACAAAATGATTACAGGAAGCACTGGAGCAACAAACAATATGGTGGAAGTTGCTTCTCCAGAGATAAGAATCCAGCGTTCTAATTTCTAATCTAATTCTTGTTATATGACCTTTGAGAAATCTGGACCTAAGTGATTTGGACCTAAGTGATTTGAACCTAAGGTCACATCTTTAAAATCAGAAAAATAATGTATTATCCGCCTGAAGATAGAAACAGGTGATGGAGACATTTTCTACTTCAAAAGATAAAGATTCTTTCATTTAATATACAAGATTCCAATATAACCCCACTCTTCTTTGTTTCCTGTTACAAGGAGATGCCACAGAGTAGAAACATACTCCAAAATGTTTGGAATCACAAACAGCAGTCCTGTAACCTAACCACCACTAGAATATATTCTGATTTCATTTCTGATGGCCTAACCATCAGATCTTTAAATATAAGTAAAAAGTATAGGCAGTTGTAGGAACTAAATGTTATTATTAATTAAGTATATTGAAGAAAATAGTTTTATTCTTTTAAATTTGTGTAAAGGTTGAATAGTTTTTATTTATTTATTTATTTTTTTGTGAAGGCGTCTTGCTCTGTTGCCCAGGTTGGAGTGTGGTGGCATGATCTCGGCTCACTGCAACCTCTGCCTCCTGGGTGCAAGTGATTCTCCTGCCTCAGCCTCCTGAGTAGATGGAACTACAGGTGCACGTGACCATGCCTGGCTAATTTTTGTATTTTTAGTAGAGATGGGGTTTCACCATGCTGGCCAGAATGGTCTTGATCTCTTGACCTCATGAGCCCTGCCCTGGCCTCCCAAAGTGTTGGGATTACAGGTGTGAGCCACTGCGCCCAGCCTGGTTTTCATTTTTAAATAATACTTATCACAATACAGAAAAATTGCACTGCAAAACAAAAGAATGTTGAAAATCATTTCAAATTCTTTATGTTAGGACTTTATTGCTTTTTATGTAAAAAGTAATTTCTCTCCTGTATGGTTTCCTGTGAATTAGGTGATACTATTATTAAAATTTTATTTAGTGGCAATTAACTGCTATTTTCCACTTGCTATTTTTATTTAATTTAAAACAACTTCTCTTAAATCTCATTAAATTTATTTAAAAGCTGAAACAGATATATAACACCAAATGATTTTGAGAAAAATAATCTATCAATATGAGAAGCATTTTTCAATATTCATTTCAATTCAAAAATAAAAATAAATGACAAACTGTCTCCAAAAAATCATGCTGCTTCCAATTATTTAAGGTAAGTACATACCTCTGCTTCCATGTGATAAGCATTTTCCACTCTCCTAAAATCCTTTGTCACAGTTATATTTTCTGCCTGAAACAGCAAAAGTCCAAGAGTATATGATTACTACCTATTTGACGCAATTACTATAAAACATAAATTAGAAACCTAAACTAATTAAAATCAGAAAGATATAAAGTATGTAAAAGAACTTTGCCCGATGTTTTAGAACTTTCCTAAAAGTGTCATAAAATAAATTCAGAAATCTGTAAATATTTGCTTAAAATTTCATAAATGTCACTCCTTTTATTATTTATATTTGCTTATAAAGAAAGTATGAACATATAGTGATATATATGAGCAATTGTTTGCACGTAAGGTATACTTAATGTTGAGTGTCAAAGTTTTAAAAAATAATTTACAAATTATTTAATACAAAATTACCTAATACCTATCATGTGCTCAATTTTTTGAGCCTTAGTTTTCACATTTATAAAATCAGATTAATACCACGTACTCCATATATAGCATCGTTTTGTGGATTTAATGAGAAGATACGTATCAAGTACTTGGCATAGAGAAGGCACTCACCAAAAGTGGATGCTATACCACTATGATATAAATATTTCTTGAAACATATACCTGAGCCACTCGGGTTTTAGAAAAGTAGTATTAATACTTATTTATTCTCAGGGTAAATACAGGGCATATAATTCTGACGAAAAGGTTAAATTTCTTATCTACTTTCCAAAAGGGTTTTTTAATTCAGTGAATAAAATCTTCAGCTACTCACATTCTTGGGGACAGGCAAAACATATTTTATGTAATTTTTTTGTATCTTTAAAAATATATGCCAAATCAATATATGATGATGATTATGCCAAATAATTTAATTATGTTATTTGGAGGAGACATGGTTAAGTCTAAATTTTAAGATATAAACTAATTACAAGCAGTTTATGTTATCCAGAAAAATTCTAAAAAGTTTAATCTAAGTTAAAAGCTTTTGACTAAAGTTCCAAATATAGCTCTGATGTCTGTCAATCCCATGAAAATACTAATGCAATATTTTTTAATGAAAGTAATATCTACTCACTGTGGAAAATTTAGAATACAGCTAAGTACAAAACAGTACAGTAGTTCCCCCTTATCAACAGGGTATATGTTCCAAAATCTCCAGCAGATGCCTGAAACCATAGATAGTATCCGATCTTATATATGTATTTATTTTTTTCTGCTCTGATAACCAAGAGAGTTACAAGTGACTAATAGGTAGGTAGCACATATAGCATGGATACACGGAACAAAGCTATGCTCCATCCCCAGGTGGGATGGAGCAGGACACTGAGAAATTTAATCATGTTACTCAGAATGGTGTGCAATTTTAAACATGGATTATTTCTGGAATTTTCCATTTAATATTTTTGGACCAAGACTAACTGCAAGAATTAGAGGTGTGTACTATATAGATTGCTTATAATCACTTTTTCACTTGATTAACATGTAACTTTTTTTGTCATCTTTTATTACATATAAACGTATGTGATGAAACATCTCTTTTTTCTCGCACTTCACTAGATAAACTTCTGATTGAAGAAATAATTTTATGAAAGGTAGTTGGCAAGAAAAGTATCTTTTACTGCTATATTTGTTTTTAATGAGTTTTTAAAATAAAAATAATACATGCTAATCAAAGAAAATCTGATACTAGAGAAAACAACCAAAAAGTAATAACATTTTCAAACCCCATTGTTAATATTTTAGTAAATATTTTAATAAACTGTCAATGCATATAAACATATCTAGATACAGACTTTTTCATAAATAAAATTATATTCTGCATTTTGTTCTTAACTATTGATTGGTTGATTGATTGGTTGACAGGGTCTTGCTTTGCTGCCAAGGCTAGAAGGTAGTGTGGTACAAGCATGGCTCACTATAATCTTGAATTCCTGGGCTCAAGCCATCTTCCTGCCTCAGCTTCTTGAGTAGCTAGGAGGATAACAGGCACACACCACCATGCCTGGATTTCCTAAAAAATTTTTTGTAGAAATAGGATTTTGCTGTGTTGCCCAGGCTGGTCTCAAACTCCTGGCCTCAAGTGATCTTTCCACCTTGGCCTCTCAAAGTGCTGGGATTACAGGCATGAGCCACCATACTTGGCCTGAACTTTTAAAAATAAACTTGTAATTTAGGAATAATTTAAAATTTATGGAGAAGTTGCCAAGATAGTATGGAATTCCCAAGTTTCAGACTTCTCTGATGTCAATACTATACTACATCCATCTAAACTAAGAAGATAACCATTAACTAAAATCCAAACTTTGTTTGGATTTCACCAGTTTTTTTTTTAAATGTCTTTTTACTACTCCAGGATCAAATCCATGATACTGTATTCCATTAATTCAAAAAGTCTTAGTCTCCTCTGGTCTCTTGACAGTTTCTCAGTCTTCCCTTGTTTTTCATGACCTTGAAAATTTTGTTCATGTATTTTGCAGAATGTCAATTTGACATTGTTTGATGTTTTCTCATGATTACACTATGGTTATAAATTTTAGGAAAGAATACCATAGAGATGAAATGCCTTTTTCATCACAACACATCACGCGGTACCTGATATCCACATGACACTACTCAAGATACTAACATTGGTCACTTGGGTAAGGTAGTGTATGCCAGGTTCCTCCACTGTAAAGTTACTATTTCCCCCTTTCTATACCTTATTAACTGGAAGCCTGTCACTAAGTGCAGCCCACACTCACTCAATAAATACTACTTTTTTTGTTGCTCAAATTGTTCTAGCTTTGGCCATTGGGACTTCTTTCAGGTTGGCTCCTATATCTGTTTGATGTACCCCTTTCCTTTACTTTTTGAGCACTTTCTTACTTTCTGTTACAAGATGTTACAGGCTTATGTAGTTTCCCTGCCCCAGTCCTAGAATAATGAGACTGCTCACTGCTTTTGGTGTATCATTCCTTCTAGGCTCTCTCAGTAGACAGAGCTAGGTTTTACACACACACACACACACACACACACACACACACACATAAAATTTTCTGCATCTTTCCATTTGTATAATACACAAAGCTAAACTGAGCTAGGTTTTACACACACACACACATACACACACACACACACAAACATATAAAATTTTCTCCATCTTTCCATTTGTATAATACGCAAAGCTAAACATGAGTTCACACCGATGTTTACAACTCTAATCCCGAATCACAGAATTCATTCTAACCTTCCATTTTTATCTGTAACTTTCCTCTCTGATAGTGACAAAGCCGGATTCCACCATCCAATATTCACTTATTTGTTCAATCCCAGAATATACGTAAAGCAATTTCAGACTTATTTACCAACTAGAGCATAGAGTTTTTGTATCTTTATTCTTCATCCTTATAGTTTCCAGTCAAACAATTTCCCAATAATTTAGGACACTTCCTGCCCTATCACCTTAAGCACAGTTATGTCACTCATTTGTAAAAACTGGGTTCATTTGTCAGAGAATAAATTTTACCCTGGGATTGATCCTGTGACAGGCTCTTTGATGCCTTTTCCCCCCAGTTTACATACATCAGGCTTCACTAATTGTGATTTACAGCTCTATGAGGTTTGACAAATACGTAAAGTCATCTCTGTACCTTTCCAGTACCATAAAGAATAGTTCTTTCACCTCCCGTCAGATACCTCCCTCGACACATAGGGATTACAATTCTGGATGAAATTTGGGTGAGGACACAGAACCAAACCATAACAATAGGGAAACACAAATCATAATGATAGCAATCTCAATAGCCAAAAAATTATATTCATAGGGATAAAATTAAAAAGAATAAACATGCAGATAATCATAAAACTTAAAAAAAAAGTCTTTAAAAATCTTTTGGGAAAACATCCCATCTATTCAATATAAATTTTATTTATTTTAGATTCAGAAGGTACATGTGCATGTTTGTTACATGGGTACACTACGTGATGCTGAGGTCTGGGGTACAACTGATCCTGTTGCCTAAGTAGGGAATATAGTACCTGCTTGCTTTTTCTTTCTTTTTTTTTTATTTGAGACAAAGTTTTACTCTTGTTGGCCGGGCATGGTGGCTTATGCCTATAATCCCAGCACTGTGGGAGGCCATGGCAGGCAGATCACCTGAGGTTGGGAGTTCAAGACCAGCCTGACCAATGTGGAGAAACCCCATCTCTACTAAAAATATGAAATTAACTGAGCATGGTGGCACATGCCTGTAATCCCAGCTACTCAGGAGGCTGAGGCAGTAGAATTGCTTGAACCCAGGAGATCCAGTGAGCTGAGATCGCACCATTGCACTCCAGCCTGGTTACTTTTTCAACCACTTCTGTGCTCCCTCCCTACTTTTGAAGTTCCCAGTGTTTGTTGTTCTTATCTTTGTGTCCATGTATACCCAATGCTTACTTCACACTTATAAGTGAGAACATGTGGTTTTCTTTTTCTGCATTCACATAAAATAATGGCTTCAAGGCTTATCCATATTGCTGCAAAGTACATGATTTTGTTCCTTTTTATGACTACATAGTATTCCATTGTGTATACGTATCACATTTTCTTTAATCCATTGTTGATGGGCACCTGGGTTGATTCCATGTCTTTGCTATTGTGAACAGGGCTGTGATAAACATATAAGTGAGGGTGTCTTTTTGGTCAAACAATTTCTTTTCCTTTGGGTATACGCCCAGCAAAGGGATCGCCAGGTTGAATGGTAATTTTATTTCTAGTTCTTTGAGAAATCTCCAAACAGCTTTCGACAGTGGCAGAACTAATTTACATTTCCACCAAGAGTGTATAAGTACTCCTTTTTCTCTATAATCTTGTCAATATCTGTTATTTTTTGACTTTTTAGTAATAATCATTTTTACTAGTATGAGATGGCATTTCACTATGGTTTTGATTTCCATCTCTCCAATTAGGAATGCTGAGCACTTTTTCATATATTTGTTGGCTGCTTCTGTGGCTTCTCTTGAGAAGTGTCTACTCATTTCCTTTGCCCACTTTCTCACAAGATTATCTGTTTTATTCTTCTTGATTTATTCCTTATAGATTCTGGACGTTA